GCATATAGATATATATGTCATATACTTTCATATGATGAGTATTTTCACTTCCAATTCATATCAAGAAATTAGTCAAAATGGACAAAATGCTAGCCTTTCAAATAGACAATCTTGTGTTCGAATCTAATACAAAGATCGAATACGATATAATATAGAAGGAATCGATTCTGAGCAAATTACAGGCGAACAAAGTAAGAAAGTTTTCGAGATAATTTGGAATTCGTCTTTTTACAATTCCTTTTATAACAATGACTGAGAACATCTTCGTAAGAAAATGAAATCCATTATTCATCATTCTGAATAGGAACGCGTTCGCTATGATTTTTTTTCTTACATATTGACACAACTGCTGACGTAATACTACATGATAAACTGCATTTCATAGATTTCTATTTGTTCTCCTTCATATATTGAAGATAAAAAAAATGTCAGGCATTGAAAGCATACAACTTGGTAGTCGTGTGGGCACATGCATAGATCTCTAATAATAATATCTTCTATATATGTGTAGTTGTATGACTCCAACAAAAAGAAATATAAGATAAAATACAATATTATGGTCTATATAAATAAAAAAAAGCAAACTATGTAGTATTCACTCATTCTTTTTCTCTCTGTAATGAATGAGCTATCTAATCCATATTTATTATTCGCATACGTTTGTAGGCCAGATAAGAATGTTAAATGAATTTTGTTTCATCATTATGTTTTAGTTGTGTCTCAACATAGAGATGATAATAAAGTATCATAGTAAAGTAGCACTCGAGGTAGATCAGCGTAGTTTTGCTAAAGCCTATCATTGTTAAATAAGAAAGAAGACAGCTATTTTGTGTTTTTTACTTTCTATTCAGTTCATTTGATTCAACGAGCGAAAAATGATTGTAATTCCTATGAATACAAATACAATTTATGTCGAGATGATTCAAGGTAAGTAATAATTCTTGAATTTGATATGATCTTTAATTTTGACTTTCAGGTAGATGCTTCGAATCGAACTTGAATTCGGCATATCCATTACATTTAAAGGAAATAATTAGTGAAAGTGAATATCAAGAATCGATTAGTAGAATTAATCGCGCTATTACTGACAATAAAACTGTAATAATTTGTTGTATCCTTTTGGTCTTTAGCATTTTTGGACTGTCGCTTTCCATTATTATTTTGCGTAACACAAAATCAAAGCGGATAGAAAGAGCGCGAGAAGCAATTGTTGAAGAATCGATGAAATATTCTTCGAGATCACCAATATCATGTCGTTGGAGATTAGATTCTACTGGATATTTCACTCCAGGGCGTAACCCACTGATTATTTATCGTGTAAATATTATTTATCTTACATACAACTAACGTGACGTGATTGGCGTTAACTCTCTATTGAAACGATATGATCACATTAAACATATGTTGAACGATCATGCTTTATGCAATATATTGATCGAACATTTCTGTTTAAAATGCTTCTGTATAGTAAAAACGACCGAAATATATGAATAATTACGGTGATTGTCAATAGAAATATTCCTCTATGATGTTTTTTTTGTTTCGACTAATGAATTTTTCATGCAGTGAATAAGTGAGGGACTTTAAACTTTCCTGTGAGCAATAATGCAAAAACTTTGCTTGCATTTTGGAAGTTTATATAGAGTTCTATCACAAACCAACGAATCATGAGAAGAAAATTTTTTTCTGTTGAAGTATGTAAATTGAAGTATAAAAACAGAAAATTGTTAAAAATATTTGTTCCTAACAATGACGCAGTGTGGTAGTTCCCGTAGATAGATAATTTCTGAAGTATTTCTTTGTGAAGAAAAGTCTGTGTCGTCTATAAAAATATTTTCAATTAAATATCAAATGACTCTACACTGAGTCGGATAACATTAATCACTCCTATTTCATCTCTGCTAGGGACATTTTCTCTAATTATCACCAGTTACTAAATATTTGTCAATACATAAATAAGAAAAGAGTTCAAAAATCATCGAGTAAAAGATAGAATCTATATTTTTATGTTCGAATTGATTCATCTTATCGCACAACATATTTCCATAGCATACTTCAGCTTTATCAAAATATTCGTTGCTTCAAATATTACATTTTTTCTATTATTCTACTAGTTATCATAACAAGTAGGACATTGTATTAATATATGAACTGTAGACTACTTGATACTGAACAAACTACGTAGTAGTTTATATTTTGGTGTAGCCTGAGTCTTCTCTTCAGCCACACCTAGTCTTAACGTTAAAGATCCTCCACCACCCTTTTTAGATGTGAAAATGAATTTTTTTTTCTTGTTTTATCGCTATATATATATCCTTTGAGTTGTCCTCTACTTATTTTCAAAAAGACTTGTTTTTATGCCAATGACTAGGCCTCAAAAAATCGATTTTTTTAAAGGGTACTTTATAACACAAAAATGAGATTTTTTTCGTTGTTTTTCTTACATTTTTATGAAGTTTGAGATATGACTCAACTTTAGTTCAACACACCTAATTCTATATGATTGAAGTAACCAATTGAAAAATCTATCATATTAAATATAGTTAGATCATTCATCGATTCGATTTTAATACTAAGAGCTCCCCTATAGTTGCTATTCATTTGCATACTACTTTTGGAATGATTCTCGTCGATTTGACACTCGAAGTACTTGTTTTTTACTCTCTGAATTACATCAAAGGGTATGGGTGTATGACTTCTCTGTTTCCACATCCGCACTCTTCATCTCGGAAAGTCTTATTGGACAAAAGCTAGATCATGAAAGCGTTGGATTTGCATAAATTCAAGTGTAAAATACCAATGTTAAGATGTTGGATCTCGTGTATTTGCTATGATATCCCCGTTTTCGCTCTACCTCAATATATATATATATCTTTCATTCTGTAACAAACGAAGATTACTCACTCTGCATATGACTGTCTTTTCAGTATAGGGAATATTTTCAACAATAAAATGATACTATCATTTTTCATTTCACCTGCTATTTGCTTTTATATCGTATATGAGCCTGGCAGAATTTCTAATAGTTGTTCGATGAAAATCAGACAAACTACTTAAAATAAAATTCAGATTGTTGTAAATGCTTTCAACAATCTCATTTATTAATAATTAATTATTGTAAGTTATTGAGTACCAATATAGTTCACTAATTTAATATGTATTTCAGCTAGCAATAGATATTGATTATACTGGTACTCTGAACAATGAAAGTGGAGTGTATTATTTGAATCAAGTTAGTTCTGAACGGCAAAATAATAATGCACCTCCACCGTATTCTGGTCAACCTGTAAAATATTGTTCTCAATGCGGCGCATCGCGACAAGATCTTACAGCTAAATTTTGTTCATCATGTGGACAAGCATTCAATTAATATTGGATATTTATTCGTTTACTCGGAATCACTTTTTGCTGTAATTTGCTTCGTTTTCTGTCATAAAATCGAACTAATTGTGGCATTATAGGAAAAAATTATCATTGAGATTGCGACCCAGATTTGATACGTGTTGGACAAATTCAAAGTTTGAGCAAACTTGCGATCGACAGTCTACTGAAAGGTTTTTTAGGCTTATGGTGTGGGGTGGGTGTGGGTATGAGTAAAAAGAAGAACTAAATTCGTATTCACACCCTGTTTGCATAGTTGGTTGCTTCGGCGAATTGTAAAAATTATTGATACGGGAGAGAGACACGTTTAGAATATCACTGTAAAAAAGGAAAGAAAACGTGATTGGTCAGTTTCAAAACTTGATCGATCATTGGATAACTCATTTAATGGTCTTTCAGTTGCTTTATGATTTGATTAACTTATCACTTTTACACGTGAAAATTTTTGTCATATTAGAAGCTATACAACAATTATCTGACTATAAACAAAAATAAAAATGTTCTACTTAGCTTTTTCCAACTTGTGTAAAACTTTTTACTGTTCTTTTTATCTTCACATCAACCAACATTGCATTCACTTTCGAATAGACTTGTTTCATACTTTTTCTCATTCTCATGCATATAGAAAGAAAGAAATTAAGGAATCTCAATAAATTCATACTGAAAAAGCTTTGATACAATGGCATCGTTCGAACCAGTCGTAGTGTTATTTGGATCTAGCACAAGCATCTCGGCTGCCAACCTACGATTGCCTGTATCACTCTTGTTTGTATTCGATGTCACATCGCTTGAATAGCTTGTTAGTGCCAGTCCACAACTGCTGGATACATGTTTAAGCCCGTACTTTGTGATTCTACTTGATCCCATTTACAAAAATCTTATGATGCGTATTAACAGTCAGAGTGAAATGAATCGAATGACAAATTTGTCTCGACAATTAACACTGGATTTGTCCAACGACATCGTTCGCTCTTTGACTTTTGAAGGTGAAAAGCAAATAAAATTGCAACGAATGTCACTGGTGAAAATTTATTATCAACAAGCACAGATACTGAGGGAATAGGTCATGTCATTTTTCAAGGTAGAATCAATATATCTGATTTCAATGTTAGATTTCATCTTATTTTAGGCTTAACCTTGCCATATTCTTCTTATTTCACTAAACAGCAGCCAAAAAAAGTCTCGACAGTGTCCAGCAAAAGTTACAACAATTTTGTAAGTATAATTGCACATAAACTCGCAGAAAGAGAATAACTCTACTTATTGCCTATAAACAAGAGCACACTTTCAGCACAATTTGTTGGGCGATCTGTCAACTATCCAGTTGATGAAAACTCATACTTTAGGAAATCTTACTGTAAATTACTTGCTTTTTCATGTCTAGTAAAGTAGAAAATGGTGCAGATTTCACACTGATCTAGCCATTCATCAATATATGTTTGCACGATGCTTATGTTAATTTATCTTATGTACAAAACTCGGCTATACTTCAACAGTCGTTGGTCAACTCAACGGCTATATACCAAATAGTGACCTACATTCATGAGAATGTGAGCATTGATGCTGAAATCAAATGGAATTTGGGCTATATGCTCGATAAAGAAAGACGAGTTTTGCAAATGTCACCACTCGATACAAATCAATTAATTGAGGATTCTCGATTCCAGTTAGTACTTCGTCGAGTCCACATTACATTTGCTGAGCGACAAATAGAAATTACTGCAGATATATTTGATTGATACGCAAAATGTATCAAACAAGGATATCTTCACGTAGAATTAAGAGCACGAGAACTGTCTAATTTTTATTTCATCATTTCATATTCTTCTCTTTGGAATAGCCTATACTGACTTTTCAAGAAGAAACAGTCAAATCCAATCTACGCAGACAGAAGCCGGACTCTGTGTTGTTTGAAAGATTTAGATATTTGTCTTCTTTTGATTGTTCTCTCTATGACGATTGGAAGATTAAATCGATTTCGTTCATTTGACTCGATGAAATACTGCATGATTCCGAAGGTGAATTTGATCGAGTTATTAAATGAATTCAGTGAAATTTTTTCAACAAAGTAACAGATTGTGTCTCATTTATCGAAATACAATTACTCGAACATCGTTACATTTTTCTGATTGAATTGAGATCACTTGGCAACGAGTTATTTCTTTCAGGGTTATGCCTGATGCAACAAAATTTTTTTACATATATTTACTGTGCACAACTTGGTTTGCATTTGAACTGGACTCGTGATTATTCGCAAATTCGAAAAGTGTATAATGAATTTGTAAAGCTCACCGATCGAATCAAAACAGAATTTTAATCAACTTCAGCTGTCTTTGAACACGCAGGAAACTAAATCATATACTTCATTGGCCACGACTAATAAACCAAAGGTGAGTTGAAATTTCATTACAATAAGTAAGAGACTCTCCCTGTGATAGATTCAATACAAACTCTTTTGTTCATAGTCTTTTCTATTTTATAGGTTTTACAGGAAATAGACGATAAAGAATGTCGATCTCCATTACCATTGACTGTTTATTATTCCGAACAAGTTGATTTATTTATGGCTCATCAACAAACAAGTGATACTCGTCTTTTCATGCTACATATACTTAAATCAAAAGCGCAAATGATTGCTGAATTTCGTCGTATGTGCAATGATAATCAAGCGACTCTAGACAAGATTGATGTTTTCAAAAATACATACAATTCGAATACAGCTGTATAATGATACACACGTGATTCTTTCGTATGGCGAACCATTAACTAAGCACTTCGAGCAAGTATGTTGATACGATGTTTAAATTACAATACATTCTCACTGATCTCTACGCTCATTTGGAAGAATCATACCAACAAAGGCATTCATCTTATCGACAGTTAACGACAGAGATATTTTATCGGGATCAACTAATGTCAAGCAAAGAATTTGATTCTTTCAAAGAGCTTCAATGTAGTATCATTTCAATAAACACATTCTTGTCGACGACAGCATCGATGCAAATCGCTCTTATGTACGCTGACAAATATCATGAAAATCTCCATGTGATTTCAGTCATATTTTATCATTGAAACAAATTCAGGAAAGCATACGCATCCATATGTCAACATTTTTCATTATTTAATGTATCAAGACGAAGACGAAACTCTGTTTGTTATGCGCAGTGTCTTTCGCATAGGTAATATTCAAGTGTGGGTGTAGATGTGATTGCAAGTGTGAGATATGGATATGAGTAATGCTGGGGTGTGTGAGTGTTTCAGCAGTTCATCTTCAGAGTAACACAAAGACCCACATCCACACCCTAACCTGAATGAAAAGTCTCAAATACTTGTAAATGCTATGCGTATCAATCGCACGCTTACTTTTATTGATATGAACAAAAACGAATTTGATAATGAAGAAATCAGATTTATTACATGAGCATTACGTCAAAATGCAACATTCATTGGGATACAATTTATGTATTTCAACGTTTCTCACAGAGGTCAACATCAATTGCAGACACTTTAAATGTCAACAAGAATATTGTCTTTATATTTCATCCCAACTTGGCAGACACAATTCTTCTTCCTTCACAGGTTAATAGACCGGAACTTATATTCTTTCCATGAAATAACGGATATTCGTTTTATTTATTTTGCTTTTATATCAAAAGAGAAATCATTATTTGACATAATTAGGTTGAAAACTCCAACAATATTGAATTTCCAAGACAATTTTAATGAATTGTCTATCAGAAAACTATTTAAGCCATTGTTCGAGAAGTAATTCTTAGGTTGTTGATGTAAATATTCTCTTTGTCTATATACACGCTCACCTTCACATCCGTAATTACACTCACACCCCTCAGCCTTTTCCGATTAGTGATATGTAAACGTGTTCCATTAACAAGATGACAAATTCGTAAGCGTTCTCTTATGCTCGCATCGAAGAATATAATGTCGTAACAAAACAACTCTTTTTTTAATTTTGTGTAGAATATGTCTATAAGGTCTGTGTTTAGAAACCAATTTTTAAACTATAACTTTTCGAATATGTTAATCTAACTGTGTATTTTTGAGCCAGTACTTGATAGAGAAATAAAAGATCAATAAAACTACGTCGTTTTAAAATCGATCGATATACATTTGTGATAAAAAAAGAAATTTGTTTTTTTATATTCTTATACGTGTATGTCAATTTTGATGTAATAATGAAGCAGTTTTCCGAGGAAACTTTTTGATAACAAGTTCTTGGTGGTAGAATTTTAGCAGCATTCGATAGAAGAATGAAACATCTATAACAAGGGTCATTTACAGATAGAGGAAAATTTATACGTGTATTGGAAAAATCAGGTCATTGATGTGAAAAATTTGTTTCAATTGTTTGTTTGTGTTTTAATATTTTAATTATATGTTGTAGAAGAAACTTGTTGCTCAATGATTTAGATTTACTTTATCAGATGTTTCATTGTTCTGCATTCTTACTCACGTCAAACAGTTCAATGATAAGAGATTATAAGATCTCACTTCTGATCTTGCCTGCTCTTACAAGATCAGATAAAAACATACATCGGATCCATTCATCTGCATAACTTATGATGCAAAAATAATTGCCGAAATTCATTCGCTACTCGCTCTCATAGTGGTTAGACGTGCTTGCTCTTGCCGCTTTTTTGTGTTCGTTCTCTTCTCTTTTCTTTGTCTGTTTACACAATAATCAAAGACTAAAACTCGTTGATTGTTGTAGTAAATGACGTCTCTTAGTAGACAAAATAATAATCTGGTTGATCTTCAGCAACCAGTTCGTTTGCCCGAAGAAAACTCTCGAATGTATGCAGTGATGAATAATGTATCACTAGCTCCAAACGACGAGATATCGCATGAACAGCAAATTGTCTATTATAATGCACCAGTGAACTACCAGCCGATAAATAATCAACAGCCATACGTATATTTACAACAATTGCCTAACAGTCACACAGTTAATCAATACTCATCAGCTAGTTCAACAGCTCAACATAATCAACAACAACCAGGATCGTCTTTCATAAGTATTCCTCCACCACTGATGCAACAGTCAATGATACATTCCAACATGAATCAACAACAACCGGTATTATCAGTACCACAACCATCCATCAATGTAACAGCACCGCCTTACTCATCAATGATTAACCCAACAGTATCTTCAACACCAATATCAGCTCCCAACAAGAGAGGTCGCAATGATACTAGTGGTTTATCGGATTCCAATATCCAAGTACGTCCCCAATACCCTCAGTCCTCTCTTGCATTTAATTCGATTAATACCCCCAATAAACGAATTCGTGGATTCAATCAACAACGTAATGATGGCGCTTATTTAGGCCGTTATGCACAAAATCAACCAGCGCAATTCAATCAAAATTCTCCGAGGGCAAGGGACATGGAGGAACGGAATAATAATCTGCAACAACCATCACTAGCGGCCTGTCGTTTCGCTACGACTCGCTTTCCTTTTTCACCCTTCTCTGTTATTTTCTCACAAGAAGTCCGTGAGAAGTTAGTCGTTGACGATTTGATCAAACACGCACTTGCTCATCTAAACATCGAATTAAAAACTGTTGCTTATCGTCGTGGAAGAGCAGAAAAAGACGAATGCCGCATCCTGATATTCGTGGAGAATAGTGAATCGTTTGCGTTCTTGTATGATCGTAGTAATTGGCCCACACAGCTAGCAGGCTGTCAATTCACAACAAAAAGTCCTTCGATTCCTCCACAATTGGCCCTAGTCTTACCGGTTGTATCACTTCTAGTTGATTGGGATGATTTCGTGCAGGAAGTGAAAGACAATTATCCAGGTGTAGCAAATATTATTCGTTTAAAAAATAAAGCACAGCAGCCGGTACGCGCCGTGAAACTGGAGTTCCTATCATCTAAAGTACGTAGTGAAATATTAGAAGCAGGTGAAATCGGTATCATGCACATGAAGTACAAGGTGGTGGAATACTTTGCTCAAGCAAACGTCTTAATTTGTTCCAACTGTTTTGGAATAGGACATTTCAGAAAGAACTGTCCGCAGAAAGAAGAATCCACATGCAAAACCTGTGGCGAAAAATGCCTGAACTTGAATGAGCACCAATGTTCTGGAATTTTAAAATGTATACACTGTGGGGGGCCCCATATTTCTAACGATTCAAAGTGCAGAATCGTGAAAGACTATCGAGCTGCTCTCACGCGTAATCTCTTGGCTAAGGTGGCACCAACAACCGTGGAAGATCTAAGTTCTCAGCGAGCACAGTTAAATAATCAGCTGTTCAGCTCTACGTCATGTCGTCTGCCTTATTCTACTGTCGCTCAAGCAATGCCGTCGAACATGAACGATTTTATTGGTAAGAAACTTGATAACATTTTAGCAAAAGTGGAAGAAGAATTTAATGCAACTCGTCGATCTATTGGGGAACTAAAAGACGAAATGAGTATTCGTTATGACGAAACAAAAAAACAAGTTGATACACTAGAAAACAAGGTGAAAACAACGGAAAAGAAGTTGGAGGATCTCTCCCTACGAATGTACACAATAATGCAGAACATATGTACGTCCATGTTGGATCCACAAGGTGCACAGAGCACAAATTGGAAATCGTATTGGCAGGAACAAATCAAAACGCTGGTTGAATGCAGATCGTTCTTCGCGAAATCTACAGAATGATCAATCCGGTAACTGATAAGTACAGCTTTGATTTTAATACTACTCGTTTTCTGGATACAGCTCGTAATACGCTTTCGCCAAAAGATTTTTCTCTGCTTTCGGATGTTCTGTTAGATTGGCACTCTGCTTCTTCTTTAACTCATCTTGCTTCGAAATGGAAACCTTTCCAAAAATCGTCCACGCATCAATCTTATTCTTATCTACATATGCTTTGCTTTAATGTTCGTGGTCTTGATCTAAGATGGGGCGAAGTCTGTCTGCTGGTGAGAACACATCGTTCTGATATTATAGTTCTGGGCGAGGTTGGACACGTGGATTTCTCTCTAATTGGGGCCGCCTTTTCAAATTATCGATTCTTCTATCAAGGTGGGGAGAATGCGCATGGGGGTGTTCTAGTTATGATACGCAATGACATATCTGCCACAAGAGTCCACTGCTCACTACCAAATGTATGTACGATTGATCTGCTCTTAGAACAAACAGTTCGACTTATTGGAATATACGCACCTGCAAGTAAAACATGGGACTGGTCGGACCTGTCTCCGTTCGTCACCACTCACTGCATGATTATGGGCGACTTTAATATCGATATCGAGAAAGATGGCGAAAAAGCCAACAATCTACTTGAATGGATGGATTCATGTTCGCTGGGATCTATTGTTCCTGACTCAAATACATCGCTTCGTTCGGAGCGCACGATTGACTATGTCGCAGCTGTCGGAGTAGATCTTACGATTCAAACGTGTGATGGTGATACATTGAGTGATCACAAGCCCTTACTCGGTGTACTAGCATGTGATAATGTTGAAGCCTGCGAAGGATCGCGAACAAGGTGGTCGGTCTTCTCGTTAGTGTTGTCGTACACGTCAGGCTTTTGGGAAAAAGAATGGAAGGATGGATCATACGATGTTATATATGAACAGTTTATATCTTTTCTGGCACTTCTGGCCGCCAGGTGCAAACAATATTTTCCACTTAAACTTGCTCGTCCTTCTGTTCCTCCTGAGCTCATGAAGCTTCTAGCGCTAAGTCGGTCATTATCGTTCAAAGCAAAACGAAAGGGAGATATGGTACTCCGTCAAGAAGCTCGTCGTTTACGAAATCTGGCGCGTTTCGAATTAAAACTTGTTCAACAGAACCATCTGGCCAAACTATTAAAAGAAAGACATGCGCCAGCTGAAAACTCTACCTTATTTTGGAGTAAAGCAAAGAGACAATTCAGGACTGTCTCCTCCTCGTTGAGGGGTTTCAAGCTATCGAACGGTGAAATAATAAAGGATGCACAATCAATGGCAAACACCGCTGCTGAACACTATGAAAAACTGTTCGAAGCTCCGGTGGTGGTACGTCCACACCCATATGTCGATGCACCTCTGGCCCGATGGGAGAATGTGTCAGATCCGATACCGCTGGTGAACTATCCCGAAATACTAGGTGTACTACGAACTAGAAAGAAAAAGCAATCACAAGATATTCATGGACTCTCACCATATATGCTGGATAAAATACCTAGAAATTACTGGCATCATTTCGTACAGTTATATAATTATTCGTTTACCAAAGGCTATATTCTAAAGAAATTTAAAGAGGTGAGAATGATACTACTGGCTAAGAAAAATGCTATATGTGCACCGGACCAGACAAGACCGATTTCACTTCTCGACTCGTTTTTGAAAATACAAGAAAAACTCTTCTTGAATCGATTTGTTAAAGTTTTGAAGGACCGTGGCATTCTTCCAGATAATCAATCGGGATTTCGTGCTGGGCATAGACTTCAAACACGGGTACTGCTACTCATCGAGCAAATATCGTCGTACATGTCGAATAGCTCTCCAGTCGCAACAGTTTTTGTAGATTTTAAATCAGCATTCGATCAATTATGGTTCGAGGGCTGTCTTGGTAAACTCGCCAGAATGGGTATCCCACATGCATATGTCAACTGGATTCGAGCATGGCTTAGCGATAGACAAGCAGTTATTGAAGTCCAAGGAAAAAGATCAAAATGGATTGCAATTGAACGCGGTGGTCCTCAAGGCTCCTGCTTCACACCGACATTGTTCATCACGTACCACAGTGATATGGCCGACTTTATTCCGAAGGCAATGTCGTTCTTCTTCGCGGACGATCTGGCTGCAGTTCTAGCGGGTCGAATAGGTATTAAGTATACAGATCAGTGTATAGATCTCGAACGCCGATTACAAACGCTCCTGGAGCAACTCGAAGTCTACTCGATTCTAGCTGTACAACCAATAAATTACTCAAAAACTCAAGCAATGTTTTCAGCACGAGCCGTCGGCTACCCGAACCCAATGCCACAGCTCCGATGTGGTGATCAATCGATTAAATGGATTTCCTCGTTTAAGTACCTCGGATATTGGTTAACAACAAAGATGGGATGGGGAAATATCATTGGAATGACGCGTCTAAAAGTGCGTCAACGTACAGCATTGATTAATTCATTCAGGCTCAGTGGCATGTCTTCGATGCAATTACGACGAGTTCTTTTTTCGACTTTCGTACTACCGCATTTCACCTGGCTATTTGGGATCTATCCATTATTCACAGATACTCAGCGGATGGAACTCAACCATTTGTACTTTACATTGTTGAAACGAATTTATCGATGTCAATACTGGGAGGACTTATTATTTTCGTCGATATATAAAGAAAGGACACTAGACGATCTGTGCTTCACATATTGGGAAAAGTACCTCAAGAAGCTGTCAAAATCGGTAGATGGGTATCTTCTATTAGAACAATCTGAACTGAATGCCCATAGATCGAATTGGGTAGAGGGAGCAAGGCGAATTCACTGTCTTTACAGATCAAAAAGATTCGTGCCGCACGTATCTGTATTAGGGCAAGCGCTTCGATGGATGGAGATTCATGGAACTTCGGATTCAGTAGTGGAACTGAACGAAGAAGATCTTGGATGTTTTGCTCTTTTTCCCGAGAGTTTTTAGGCGATGGTCCTCAACGACAGTATGTGAAGGTCACCCTGACAAAAAAAAGAAGAGGGAGAGAAGAATAAGAACAGAGAAAAGTGGGAGTGAAAGAGAAAGAGAGAAGGAAAAAAAAAAAAAAAAAAAAAAAAAGGAAATATAAAAAAAAGAAGAAAAAGAAAACCGGTGGATTCAGATATGAAAGGAATGTTTATACATACTATTTAACACATTGATATCGGGTATCTGCACAGTTATTCTGTCGGTCGTCCCTCTTCTCGTCTTATTATTTTTTTTTCTCAAGCCACTTGTATTACAAAAGTCGAATACCCACGGTCTACTTCAGCTACACCGGTTATTATATATAATAATGGCTCACTACGTTCGATTATTCGTCTTCTGGTACATGTACATCACGTTAATAGCTGCGAGCAATCCAATACCCACGCCGGAGTATCATCAGTTTTTAGAACGCGCATTGCAAGCTGCATTAAAGAACCAACAGCAGCAAGAGGAATCAAATTCAGACAAGGATGATCATCTCCAAAATGAGAATAAAAATCAAGGATTAATCAACACAATCGTAAATCATAATAATAAATTGAAGAAGTTCGAAAACAAATTCAATTTTATTGTCAATAACTACGCNACGAAATTCGACGTTACCGATTAGATGTTTACTGCCAAGGAACACTGGTCGCTGGTGAAGATGAAAAAGGTAATCGTTTCAATCAACTCAAAACACCCCGTTATCTCTTTGTTGATCGAGATTACTCATTATATGTGTCGGATGACAAGAATCATCGCGTGATGAAAAGGATGGAAGGTTCTCAAGAAGGAGTAATCGTACCTCGTGGTCAGTAGCAACGGCAGTGGAAATGAAATGAATCAGTTGAGTAGTCGTATGAGATCGCCCTTCGATAAGCATGGCCATCTTTATGTCGTCGATCGCAATCATAGTCGAGTACAAAAGTTTGAAGTATTATCTTTATGATGTTTCTTTGTCGTTTTCAAATTGAAACCAAGTTTATACGGGCAAAGTTTCCTCTGCGCCAATCTCATATTTTAAAATAAATGTTAGATAAGCAAGGGAAAGAAGAACGAAAGTAAGAGAGAATCTTTTTAGTTTCTGATTATGTTGTTTATAAATGCACCGTGTCGTAAAGGAAATTTATTCGAATTGCTGGACTAAACTTATAGTGGAAGCACATACCATCTTTTGGTTCAATAAGTCGGCTCAACAAGCACTACGCAGCTTTATAAACCGACTTCAAATGTCTTGTTGATCTTGCAGAATTGGTGGACTGCTATCGATGTCTGCGTTAAAATGATGTTACAATTTTGATTGTAAATGATCAAATACAAGCATTAGCACATGTTAAATGAATATTCATATATGTAAACCTGTCACGTGTTCGTAAACGTGCATCTTTGTAATCTTTAAAAGCATATTTTTTACAATCAACTAAGATCCTAAAGACAAATAAAAATGAACACGAATATAATTAAAAAGCATCAATTAATCAGAATCGTAGGAATGCAACAAACAATGGAACTGCACAACGTCAATTGCATTTTTATAACAACAATCGGATGTCTCAAAATAATACACAAGGCTCACCATCAACATTTAAAAGACATCTAGCTAGTCACAGTACACTTGGTGATGATGTTAGATACGTCAACAATAAAAGACAACGAAAAAATAGCCAAGGAAATGCTGAAGAAATTCATGATCATGACGAACGTATCGTAGAATGGACTGAATCGAATAAGCATCATGGTATTTTTTTTTAATGTTAATCAAGCTGGCAACGATCGTAGTCAAAGTCTCATTTCCAAGCAAGTATTTAATTATGCAACCGAATGTCACTTTCCACCGATCAAAATAGCATGCACACCTAAAATTCAAAATCAAAATGGAGCTAGCTTTGTTCAAACACTCATCAAACACATAGAAAAGAAATTTAAGAACGAAAACTCAACATGCAAAAAACTATTAGCATTTGATGCATTTTGGGTAAATTCAGAAGCGGATATGATGGTGTTAACAAAATGTATTGAAATATTTATTCATTTATGCATATAAGCGAATTATCCGCATGAAATAAATAATTTAAAAATCGAACCTCTGTTGCCAAAATATTTACCACCACAATCTCCTTATTGATTAAATTTGTTCACAATCACATTTCAATTGATGAAATTCGTCAAGAAGTAAAAGAGAAATATACTTCACAATATTCATGTAACGAATTAATTGGAATTAAAACAAATCGAACGAGGCATATCAGAGTTGAATTTACTGATCGAAAGGATTATAATACCATACTCAATAATGGACAAATATAATTTTTTAGTCAACTTTACACAGTGAATGAATTTCTCGAAGCTCCAAAATTACTTATTTGTTCTAAATGTAACTCCCCGGGACACATGAAAAAGCAATGTCAACTTAATTATGATCGATGTCTTCGTTGTGGATGTGACTGGAAAACCGGTGATCATTCCGAATGTTCGATTAAATGTCATCATTGTAGTGGTGAACATTTATCTACGGACTATAAATGTCCAGCTCTAGCTGATTATCGATGTGAACTCGTAAAAGAACTAAAACGTCATCCTGAACGTTTGCCCGAACATGTACAACTATTTATACCAGCTCAGTGTGGAGATAGGAATGACCATTCACCTGTTATTACAAATTACCAAAAAAATGAACAAAAAATTAGATCAACAGTTAATGCAACATTTGGTATTAATGCCCACTCTTGACCTCAACTTAATCCTAGTTCAAATACCGTTATAAATGAATCGCTAATAGCGCAAAATCTTAATGAAGAAATTAAGCTGACTCGGGAAAATTTCAATAAAGAATTAAACAAACTGAGCGTGACATACGAAAAACAAATAAATGTTTTTCGAGATCGATGGCACTTAGTGGCTCAACAAACCAAAACACAAAATGAAATGATTAAAACCAAGTCGGCTACAACTCTGTCATGTATTATTCCAATGGGAATAGACCTACTTAGAACTACATCTGAATCTATAAAATCACTTCACAACAATGAACAAAACGAAGAGACCAAAAACAAACTTAATGATTCAGCTGAACAAATACGATTACAGATGAATAAATTGTCTGAACACCATCATATACTGCAACAGTATCAAGAGAAGATGTCTTTATTAATGGATAAACAAACAGCATCTTTAATTGAAGCAATTGACACATTAACATATATAAATGAATAATCAAAGAATAAGATATGCTGATCCATACATTGAAAATAACAACATCGACAATTATCATGGTACTGTAAACGAAAAAAAGATTCTTAAAGAAATATGGAAAGAATGGAACAGTAGAATATCTGATTTTGATATATGCAAACAGTGGCAGAAAGAGAGACCGACGGCAGAATATGAGCCTTTAAACTTACTTCTTTTTAATATTCAATGCCTTAGTACCCATATTGCTGACCTTGATTTTTTAATAGCAACATATAATCCTCAAATTTGCATTTGGACAGGTGTCGGTGCAGGAATAAAAAATCCTCCCCAGATACCTTTCTATAATTGGGTCTGTCAGGAAGGTACTGACTCTTTTGGTGGTGTTGCTATGATTGTTCATAATTGTTACGGGCCTACCCTCACACTGATTCATATTATTATTCTTTTATTGTTTCTTTCGTTCTTCTCTTCTTTTTCTTTATTTGCATGATATCACCTTTGTTGTTATGATTTGATCTATCTTTTTCTTTGTTCTAGTGATATCATGTCTTTCTAGTCATCTCTCTCTTTGTTTTCTATATATATATAGTTCTTCTTCTGTTTATGAAAAGTCAGATCGAGTGATGCTATATGTTTTTCCTCGTTATCTTTTTTTTTATGTACTTCCATCTTTAAAATAAAGATTTCAAACATTACATCTCTTTGACCCCTAATATTTGGTGCCGTGACCGATAATTTTATTATTATTTACTAATAATAAAATACGAACCAACCCACAGCAGAAAAATTCATATACCACCAGAATTAAAAAAAAAAAAAAGAAAAAACAACAAATATATATATAGCTCGGTAAGTGAATTTTTTTTCCTTCACTTTAATTTAGAGGTAGTTTCATTGGAAACTGTCTGTGTAACCTCAACTGAATTGAAAAGATAGTTCCATTAGGAATTGTCTGTGAGGGTTATAATAAATACGAAGAAAATAAGTCCATGAATTATTATACATACGACATTATCAATTAAATTCAACATCACATTATCACATTTCTTTTTTTACTGACATTACAAATAACGGCTTATAATTTACGAAGCATTGATATTGATCCGGAACCAACCGGTGATTTATTAACAAAAACATCCGAGCGTATAGTTAAAAAATTAACTCTGGAATCATTGAATAACGCTACTGAACATATTCAAACAATGCCTAATAACATGCAAGATTCAGTGATGATGATATGTTATCGTGAATGCTTATCAAATCTACAAAAATTCAACGGTGGTGAAGAATATAAGATTTCACAGTTTATCAACAACATTGAAAGAATTGGAAAATTAATCGATGGGAATGATGATATCTTACATTGTATGTGTACGGCAAAATTAGATGGTGAAGCAAAACGTTGGTACGAAGATAATATGTCATTAACTCAATGGGAACAACTAAAATCGGCTTTACTGGAAAGATTCACACGATCCGATTCATCGTCAAAAATATTCGAACAATTGAAAGAACGTAAACAAAAAATAGATGAAACAATCACATCTTATTATGATGCTATTATTAAATTATGCCATGAATATGATTCATCCATGTCACAAAAAATGATGATATCATGGTTAGAAAATGGAATTAAAGATTCATTAAAAATTCAAATTAAACGACAAATGAAGGTGTTATCTGAATCAGCCCGAACAACACAAGCATTTTTAAAAATTGCAAAAGATGAGCAAGAGCTACAAGAAGAAAATGTTCCAGAACCGGAAGCAACAGCACCGTATGTACCATACTTTGCAAATACAGTATCGACAACACTAAAACAAATGGACAATATACATTCAAACGCATCGCAATATCCATCTCCATTACAAACAACCACAGCACACGAACCCAACAATCTCTACCAACAACAAAAACATTTCAACGTATGGCAACAATCGCCGCCACGAATTCGCCATACACCATCACAACATCGTTCATTTAATTTTCAATCACCATCGTCCACATCTCGCCATAACATACGACATATTCCAACGGAACATGCTGCATCAAACAATTCATCAACCATGAATATACGTCAATATGGTCCCTGTTCTATATGTCAACGAAATAATCACCGTACAATTGATTGTTATTATAAAAAAACATTTGGATGTTATAAATGTGGACAATCTGATCATCGAATACGTGATTGTCCGCAGGTTTTCTACTGACTGGAACCCGTGATGGTGGTGATTCCAGAAATTTAAAACAAAATCCATCAAAAAATTATAGTATTCCATCGAAATTATCAAGTCCTATATTTATCAATGTCCAAGTTAATGAAAAACGACATCATGCTATTATTGATACTGGATCCGCAGTCACCATCATTAATCAACAGTTATTAAAAAATATCTATCATAAGAAATTCATGTATAAACATAAATCACACAAATCGGCTAATTCTACATCGATTAACATTATTGGTGAAATTCAACTTGAAATTAAAATACAAGGTCATAAGACATTAATTCTAGCGGATGTAGCGACAAATTTGATTACTGATTTATTACTTGGAAACGACTGGATTACCGGAAACAATGTTATTATTGATTCACCACGACGACATATTTTTCTGACCGACAAATATTATCGAATAGTAGCAGCAGCGCCATTCATTGAACCACCTGATCTTCATTTACCTATACTTTTGATCGATGAAATTACACTACCACCATATTCGGAAAAACTTATTAACGTAAAAACTACATCATCTATAAAAAATACTATTGATGTTTTATTTGAACCAGCTCGCAATTTATATTCGAAACAAATATTACTTACAAATGCTATACTCAAAATGGAAAATAATAGAAGTCAAATTATGATTATCAATGTCAATGATCGTCAACGTACACTATCACGGAATACAAAATTGGGACATATTTCATTACAGACTGAATTAAATAATTATTTTATTTTACCAGTGCTATCCGAAGAAGGAAATTATCGACCAACACATTCAAAATCATTTATTGATAAGAGGAACAACACTCGAAAGAGTGGTTTCTGTGATCCATTACTCCGTGGGAAGAGGAAGGTCCGATTTACGGACTTTACCTGTGGAAAAGAACGTCATGAAGCACAACAACATCAATGCCATGTTTGTCAAGAACAATTTCTATCCCGAAATGATTTACAACAACATTTATGCCAAAAATGTTATCCATTGGAAATGCGAGAACAGATCGAGAAACTAACTCAACACATCGAAGACATAAAGCAACGACAACAATTAAAAAATATTTTATGGAAACATGGAAAACTATTTGATCTCCGTCAACCATCCATCATCAAAGCAACAGTCCATCATGCCATTGAAACTGGTACTCATCCACCAACTTATACTTCACCATATCGTGTTTCATACAAGGATGAACAAATACAAAGAGACGAAATTGATAAATTACTCAAGCAAGGGATAATCGAAGAATCTATCTCGCCGTGGTCATCTCCAATAGTATTGGTAAGAAAAAAAGATGGTTCTGTTCGATTTTGTATTGATTTTAGAAAATTAAACAATATTACTACGAAGGATGCATTTCCTATGCCTCGCATTGATGATATATTTGACCATTTATCTCAAGCTGAATATTATACCACAATTGATTTTAAATCTGGTTATTTTCAAGTTGGCCTTGATCCGAAAGATCGTCCAAAAACAGCATTCTCTACCAGAGATCAACATTATCAGTTTACAGTGTTACCTCAAGGTGTTACAAATGGTCCTCCAGCATTTCAACGCATCGTTAGTCAAATACTTGGACCTACAAGATGGCAATATTCATTAGCTTATCTCGATGATGTTATAATATATTCAACAACATTTGACCAACACTTACACCACCTTGATGATATTCTTAATCGATTAAATGATGCAAATTTTCGTCTCAATATTAATAAATGTCAAATAGCACAAACAGCGATTGATTATCTGGGTCATCATATTGAACACAGCAATATTAGACCGAATGCAGACAACATTCGTGCATTAGTAGAAACTCAACAGCCAACAACAGCAAAAGAAGCTTTTCGATTCGTCAAAGCTGCTGAATATTATCGTAAATTTATACCCGCATTTTCTACCATTGCACAACCTTTACATCAATATGCACCGACAACTAAAGAACAACGATCAAAAAAATCACAAGCTACACCTATTACTCTATCCGATGATGCACTTGATGCATTTAATAAATTAAAGAAAATATTAACCAATGACTTGATATTACGTATTCCAGATCACAATTTACCATTCAAGATACAAACTGATGCATCAAAAATTGGAATTGGAGCTGTACTTATGCAAACTCATTCACACGGTGATCTACCAATCGCTTACTTATCAAAGAAATTTACACAAACACAAATGAATTGGCCTGCAACAGAACAAGAATGTTACGCTATTATATATGCAATTGAAAAATGGCACAAGTACTTAGATGGACGTTCATTCATTATTGAAACAGATCATAAACCACTATTACCATTCAACTTAAAGCAACAATTAAATTCAAAATGTGAGCGATGGCGTTTAAAATTACAACAATATCAATTTACTGTTCGGTACATTAAAGGAAAACATAATACAGTAGCTGATTATTTATCCCGATCACCAGTCGATAATGGAATGAATGATGAAGATGATTATACACCAACAAAATCCCGATCAACACAAACCGATAATTCCACAACAACACACGTCGTTGCATCCGTCACTACAAGGGCGCAAGCAAAACAACAGATTAATGAAAGGATTGACTGTCATTGGGCAGATCAGTCCTGTGATGAACAACAACAGAAGAGGAATGACGACAGACAGGTCGATCATTTCTGTGTTGCAGAACTTAAACAATCAAATATAACGGATATTAACAATGATCATAATATGATTGTACCATTTACATGGGAACAATTAAAACAGTTACAACATCAAGATGGGCAAACAACACACATGATATCACATATTAAAGATTTCAATGATTATTTTTTAGAAGATAATATGTTAATGAAAAAATCGTCCCCACCAGTACCCTTTGTACCTACAGGACGAATTCGCTCCGACATTATTAAAATTTATCATGATACACCAGCGAATGGAGCACATTTTGGTAGAAATAAAACCACCCACAAGATTCGACAAAGATATTTTTGGCCTAATATGATTGATGATATACGAAATTATGTGAAATCATGTATACCTTGTTTACAAAATAATCATCTGCGACAAAAGCCTCCTGGCGCTCTAAAACCAATCAAACCTCCTGAAGGAGTATGGCAATTGCTTACGATGGACTTCCATGGACCTATTACACCAACGACGAAAAATGGAAATAAATATATTATTGCATTAACCGATGTCTTATCAAAATTTGTTATTACTAAAGCAGTACGTGATTGCACTGCCTCAACTGCAGCACGATTTCTGACTGAAGAGGTGCTCCTTAAATATGGCACTCCCAAATGCATTCTTACAGATAACGGTACACATTTTACTGCTACAATGATGACCGCATTATTTAAAACAATTGGTGTTACACATTTATATTCAACACCTTACCATCCGATGACTAATGGACAAATTGAAAGATTTAATGCCACAATGGACGCTAAAATAGCAGCATTATCAAATGAAAAACGTACAAATTGGGATGAACAGTTACCATTTGTTACATTCAATTACAACACAAGTATCCACACAACAACCGGACAAATTCCATTTGAATTAATGCATGGCCGATCACCAATATTACCTTTCGATCAACAGCAACCATTAATTACACTTTCACAAGACCCAGAGCATCAATTAAAATTAAATCAATATTTATCAACATTAACCGAACAAGCAAAAATTAAAATCTTGGAACAGCAAGCGAAATACAAACAACGTTATGATCGACACCGTGTCAATCCAAATCACACGGTCGGCGACCTTGTATTAATTAAAATATTAAATATGCGCAACAAATTCGACGCGCGATATGAAGGACCATTCCGAATAACAAGAAAACTCAGCACAAAAACATTTATCGTACAACATGTGAAGATACCTACATTAATGAAACAAGTCACCAGCGACATCATGGTATCAATCACACAAAGACGTAATATCAAATCGAAATAAAATAAAAAATAGATAGAACGCGAAAAATGGAAAATCCATATATTACTCATACATGAATATATTTGTTATTTACTTTACCGAACGAAACATTATCAATTATGACCATTATTATAATTACAATGAATATTAATTAATTAAACGATCATTGATAATTTATATACATTAGAAATGAGCCTTATTTGGGTTCATGAAAATGAAATGAAACAAAAAAAAGGATTCTCGATGGGAATCCTGGTTATATTTATTTTTGTTTTAGATATAGTGTCAATCACATTATCAACTCCATTATCAGTTACAGTATTATTTACCGGTTAATATCCATCATCGATCAACATATTATACTTATTATATGAACCCATGTCGAAATTTACCTATAAAAATCGTTTAACATATATTCCACCCTTGGAAAAATTAGATAAACTTACAAATCAATATCAACCCAAACGAGTGGTGGAAGAAAATCGATACGAACAACTTTATAAACAAGGTAAATGTGAACATTTTCAACCATTATCTATTTATAGATATTACCATATTCATCATCAAACACCTATGGACGTACTTGATAACTTAATCGACTATGCCAATGAAGTAACAAGTTATACCATTGATACTGAAGACCAACTTCAACCACATCAACCATCGAAATCAGCTTTATTACAAATTGAATATGTTTACGAAAATAATCCATCGATTTTATTAATCATTGAAATGATGCATTTACCCGAACGAAATGAACCAACATTTATTAAAATTAAAAAATTATTAAAAATTATTTTTTCAAATAATCACACAATTTATTTATGGGGCGGTATCAAAAAAGAACTTAAACATTTTTACAAATTTGAATTATTTGATGAAAATGATATCAATTGTGTTAATGAACGAAATATACAAGATGAATTTAAAAGTTACTTCAACAAAAATTATCCGCTATCACCTGAGATTAAACTAAAAGAAAATGAAACATATTCTCTTCAATTTGCGATTTACAAAATATTTAACCAATGGTTGACTAAACGTTTTACTCTTGGAAATTTTGGTTGTGGTTTGGATCCATCTTTAAATACGATAATAATACCACAACAATTTTTAAACCAACAAAAACAAATTATAGAAGATGAACAAGAAATCAGAAAACTTATGATCACTTATGCTTTGAACGATTGCCTTGCTGTAACGAAGCTGATATATGAATTACCATCTCCAACACAATCAATTACAAATGATTTTGAACCAATATCTGATGATGAATTTGAATTCGATTATAAAGAAGAACCTGTTAACAAATGGCCAGTTAATGAAATTAGTTATGATATAGATGTCCATGAAAAAAATGAATTTGTTAAATTATATGATGATATTAAAATTAATGATGCACCAACATATGATATATTAACCGGGAGTCATGATCGAGATGATTCTTTGGAAATGATTAGTGATGATGATATTGATGATATGTCTTTACCTGAAGTAATGAAACTTCATTTTATTTCAAACCAACATCAATTAAATGAATATAAACAACCATTAGATTATAGTGATGATCAAGATAAGGGTCATGCACAAAATGATCGTCAAAATGATATTGAAATTATATCCGATGATGATGAACAACAACTTAATATAAATAATAAATATCAACAACATTTATCTGGTAAACCATTAACAAGGAATCAAAAGAAAAGCCGAAAAAAACGAGCTAAACGATATCGATTTGAAGTAATCAGAAAAATCTATCGTCAATTTACAATTAGACAAATTAAAAATGTTTTAATATATATGAATATCCATTATGTCAATTTTAATGTTGTTGGTAATATATTATTTGTTGGCGTTAGAGATGAAGCAACCCGAAAAGAAGTAGAAGAAAAATTAGATAGTGGTATGTTTACAGAAAAACACTATCAACGTATTCACAAGAAAACAAATTCAAAAAGAGAATAAAAAATAAAAAATTTTTTTCTTGTTTTTTGTCGTAGAGTTAGATTTATTGTTATATTTGAAACATATTTTTTTTTTCTTCTTCTCTCTCTCTTCTTCCTTATTGTACTTTTCTATATATCTCATCGTTATTATTGTTGTTAAACGTTGTCAAGAACCATGCGTGCGGACACGCATCTTCTCTAGGGGGGTCGACTGTTACGGGCCTACCCTCACACTGATTCATATTATTATTCTTTTATTGTTTCTTTCGTTCTTCTCTTCTTTTTCTTTATTTGCATGATATCACCTTTGTTGTTATGATTTGATCTATCTTT